GAATAGTTTGTAATACTGCACATTATAGCTCTGACAACATGATATACAGGGTAAAATTGCTATGTCACTGTTTAATAGACTTACCCAGTATTTAAGGACGACATGTTTCTTGCAAAGTCATCGGGACTTTGAGGGAGGTTCTAACTACGTTTAATTAATTAACTTACTAAAGAAAAAAAAAGTTTTTTGTGAAATTTCAGTGCAAGGTCATTTTGTGTTCACAGACTATTCGGTTTTAAAAAAGCTGTTCTTTATCTCACATTATGAACGGCCTTGTAATTCCTATCCACACTAAAAGTTGGCTTTTAAATGTTATTGTTTTAACTTTAATATTTCATAGTTAATACAGAGAATAAAGTAATTTAAAGAAAGTATATTGAAAGTATATTAATTGATAGGATTTCATTTATCTATTTTGGTCCACTGTTCACTGATCTCGAATCTCAGTCTGGTGTTCAAACAGTTTTTCTTACGATACGTCGTGAGTTTATATCCACAACTGCATTTTGCTTTGTGGTAACAAATTGAAAGCCTGGCATTGTAATACGTGTATGGACATGCTTATAACAAAGCATGGGTCCTCTCCTCATGTAGTTGGTCTGTAACAGGCACTTTGATGCAATGTGTCTACCAACGCTTTTCTGTGGTCACTGGATCACATCGCATACCCTATCTCTCTGTCATGATGCAGAGTTTAAGCTTGCAAGGATATCCAGACCTTATCCACCTGGTATCCGCATAAATACTCCTATCGTTTATAGGGGTTAATTACATAATAACCATTGAAGGTAATATGTTGGTTGTTCTTCCTATAGAGGAAAGATGGACTTGCCCTAAAAGCTTTTTCATGGCTAGGACAAGCTCTTATAGAGAGAGATAATGTTCTTCTGACTCCTGAAAAGGAATATTGGTGGTCACAATATGGGAAATACTGTAATTCATGTGTTTAGTAATCATAAGCATTTGCTTATTGCCACATTACTGATGTACTGTTTATTGAAATATTATTATCCAACATACTTTTTGAATTACTATATATTGAAAGTTTGCCAACATCTCATGGTTATAAATATGTTTTTGTATGTGTTGATGCATGTACCAGGTTTACTTGGATATATCCTGTGCGAAGTGCAACCTCTGATGCCATGTTTTCTAGTCTCACTTCCTTAGTATGCATTTGATAATCCCAGGACAATCCATTTGGATGGTGGTCCTGCAGTTACTGCAAAGGAAACCTAAAACTGGGCAACCACATTTGGGTTACTTTGGGATTTCAGTGCCCCAACCACCCCCAAAGAAGTGGGGTTGTGGTCTGGGAAAATGCTGAGGTTAAATGATTATTAACCAAGTTACTAGTTGCTTGCCCCACACAGTGGTATCTATTTATTCCTATGGTACAGATAAGAATTCACAACATACCTGATGATACAAATGGTGAGACACCATATGAAATGTTACATGTTTTTCACTGACAAACATATTTCTGCACCCGGGAGAGCTTAGAACCATTGGTTCTATTAGAGAAATTTAGGGAATTTTTTTTCCAGCCCACCTCGCCTTGCACCACCAACTTTTTCTTACTGTTGGCCAGTTCGTCCTGGAGAGGGTAACTCAGATAACTTTTACTACAGAGAACAATCAGAGCCAACAGAGAACAGTAAGTTTTGATATTTTACAACCTGCTAAAATACTTCCAAGACATTCACAGAACCACTGACTGACACAGTTAAAGATGACAAGATAAAACAAACAGAAAAGCCACCAGAATCATAGCCACGTAACAGACTGAATCATGATCTGACATCTGAACCTGCAAATGTGAAGGAGAAGGATGAACAGACAGACGTGATACATTCACAGTTAACATGGAATGTATGAAAAATGAATCATCAACATCATTATAAGAAAGACTCTGGAGAAAACAGACTGAACCTGAATTATCTTATACAGTAAGAAAGAAATTCAAAGATGGAAGCAAAAGGATGCTAGAAAATTGGAGTCTCCTTCTTACAGTCTGTAGCATTATCATAACATCAACCCTAACTGCATTGGGATTATGTTAACAAGCAGGAAGCACCTGAACCGAATTGGACTGTACACTATACAAGTTCTGTGATCGTGAGGACTACCTCCAAGAACTATCTCGAAAGGAGAGACACAGCTCACAGTGAAATTATTGCCTACACTGGTATTTCACAAGGAACCTACTGAGATCATTCCAAAAAAACGATTATACATGAGAAAGATGTGATTGGACTATTACAAATCCTAATAATGGACTCAACAATGATGACAAAGCATGCTGAAATCTGAAAAAGCTGGGACAGATGTTTGTGAAAGACTTTGGATGCACCTATGAAGGTGATGCAAGAAAAGACTTTGCCATATAGTTTATCATTGAGTGACTACCGCAAACAGCCTTCTTATGCTGAAAAGAAGTGCTATGCTAATTCTGGACATTGCAATTATGTATCCAGACAGAAGATGACCGGAAAAAGAAATAAAGGCTGATAACTGTCAACACCCAGCTGTTTTTCAAGATGGAACATGGTACTGAGAAAACCTGATAGACTATCAAAGCACCTCACAGTACAAGACAGATTGTTACCTACAACTCAGAAAAAAGGGGTTAATAGGAAGGATCAGAAGAAGAGGAAAATAGATTTCCTACTGGAATGAAAAAACCATCCTGGAACAATATTCTGTAACAATGAACTTTACAATGACATTTGGTGGCATATGAATTTGAATTTGGTAGAAACACATCAATTAACGAAAGAAACCTTGATGCAATTAATAAATAATAACAATACCAGCCTACTAAGAGCAGATTCCCTGCAAAGAGAATGAAATATAAAAAGACCAGCAAAATCTTTCAGAAACCTGACATCACGGGACACTTGTACTAAAGCACGATTTGCAGCTTTTCTAAAACTCTACATATTATGTACATACCTACAAAGCAAGGAACTCCTGTAAACATAAACACAGAGACATTGATACAACAAGGAATCTGTGATGGTTCTGTTGCAGATGTGATCTACCGTCGTACTCCTTGCTCTTTTGGTATAACTATACCAATCAAAATGTTAAACGGCTCCATAGAATCAAATGACAAAGGATTCTTGCTATATTCTGGACTTCCAGGAATGTGGTGCATGGACCGAAAATTATAATTACTAAAGCAATTATGCTATTTTTTTCCCTGTATCAGAAATGTGTCAGTGACAATGTGTAATATAATAGAGATACTATAATTAATGGTATAAGAAACACATAATGTGTTAATTACAAAGGTGGATAGACTTTGTGAATATCTGGAACGCAATTGAAGATTATTGCTAAAATGCTATATGCAGCTGCAGTCTGGCCTACAAACAAATATATTAGACATACGAAGAAGAGTATAACAGCTAATTACCCAGATGAATAATTGAATCATGATAGTTAAAGATCATATGATTGCAATAACAACTGCAATAATGAATAAGGTTTAAACTTTAGAAGAAAATATAAAATGTTTTTATTAAAACAGAAACTACTCGATATTCGTTTAAGTTTGCAGAGTGGTATAATTAATATAAGTGAAATACTTCAGCAGTTAAAAACAGTTAAGACAGGCAGAAACTTTACTTCAACTATCATAAAGTTTATTTATAATGATAAAAATATTCAGTCTGCCAGAGCCAAGGCCAGTCAATGGAAAGTAAAAGAGTATTAGGGATTAACCCATCCAGGTGATATACATGATGAATTTGGAAATTGATCATTTAGGTCACCTATTGCAAACTGGTGAAAAGATGTCAAAGATATAAATTCAACATCCATACCACTCTATGTATATATATATATATATATTAAAATACACGTAATCAAATATTTTATCAGTTTTTCAAATACAAAGAAAATGTAATTTGGTTTGTAATGGTTAAAGGTACATAAACCACCTATACAAAGGTAGAGTTAAAATATAAATACATTCAATATTGTATTGGAGTGCTTTCTTAACTCACTTTTAGAAATAATAATACATTCTAATCATCTTAAGCTACAGCCAACAGCCACTGAAAAATATACTTAAACCATTAAGATTCACATTGTTAAGCATCCAATCTCACGAATGTAACTTTCCACAATGGCTGTCAGATCTTGGTTAAAAAAAAAAATGTTTTCTAAGACAATTTTTGGGTGTTTCTGGTATTTTAAGCCACTAATAACTGTAGTTATTATATTTACTAATTATAACTTAGAGAATAAGTTGTCTTCTCCCTAACAGGAAAAAGAAAGATGAATAATGTCATATTTCCAATTAGCAACTATTTTAAATATATTGAGAGATTTTGAATAAAGGAGTATTTTTAACATTTAAAGAGAATGTAATTTTACATATAATTGTGAACAAAGGCGGTAAATACTTTGCTGCTTCAAATTATCCTTATATCTCTAAGTCATATACAAGGGTGTTTATCTTTAATACAAAACACTACAAAGATTAACTATGTTACTATTTCATCTATCATTATTATACAAACTATAACAAATGAAAAGATTTTTCCACAGATTTTACCTGTTAACATTTTTAGCACAACAGCACCTGAAGTCAGTGAGATGTCTATCACTGAGATGTTACAAAGATTCCAATACAGCAAAAAGAGGCGTTCCTGAGAATCCACTTCGATTGCTGTATCAACATAACATTTACTATAACGGGATCCATGTCACTTAAGACAATGTCTTGGAAATGCTGTCAATTAATTTATTCCGTAAAAGAATATCGGCGAGTATCCAATCTATACACATCATAAATGGTGTAAAAAATGTTTCATGAAAAAAACAAAATAAAAAAAGACAAAGACAAATACCAACGCCATCACCACAGTGATAACAGATGATGCAGATCAATATCCGCAACCAATTCTAGCCAAATATTTGGAAAGCTGGACTCTACAACCTATACTGTACAACAAATACCCGGGTATTCTACAAACACAACCTCCAGCAATGTATCTAAGGAATGTAAACTTCTACAGGCCTTTAAAGACTTTGGATTACAAATACAATTACTATTTTTAACTTTGGATTACAATTCGTATCCGGATCTATCCAAGAATATCTTACTCTGGAACTTGGTGTTCTTTTCAATTCTTTCCCAGACAAAAGCTTTGCTCATTTTAATCAACCACCTTTACAGGTAAAGATCACACTACGGATGTTTTACTGTTACAACAATGATCTAAGATGCTGGGAGCATAAAAAACCTAAAGACAGTTGGAGAACTTTGGTTTACTAATTTAAGGAAGAAATGCACTACAATGCCCACAGTTTAATGGAGAGGGTGTTATGGGTAAATGTAAATATTACAAGTTTTAGAATGAAATGTTGTATTTCTTAAACTATGTACTTTGTCTTTAAGAGATATTGCAAACTGACAAGGTGTTAGAAATGGAACATATTGTTTTTCATAACTGTTTCTTTAAGCAATCACCTCAGTGCATAATATGTTTGCGCCATTTTGTCCCAGACGAATTACAATAACAATAATGCATAAACAAGCTTCAAGGCTATGCTACGACTCTTGCAGTACACAATATACTGTGGTAACCCCAAGTTAATGGAACTTCCCCAAATCTGGGAATCTCCCACTACTGTACACTTACGACTTAGTATAAACAACAGATAACCTATTCAGACTTTAAGATGCCATCTTGAACTAAGTCAGGAAAATTTCCATGACGTATACACCCTTTAGTTATGGCCTTGTATGTTTGCCAAATTAAGGGAGGTCCTAAATTGAATAAAGTAAAAGAAGTGTTACTTTTTCATATTTGAACTACAGTAACCTGAAATGGAGACACCTAAGGTATAAATAGGTGTACTTTTAAATGTTAAGATACAGAGGAGAGACTTGGAGACAGACGCTGCTCCATCTTAAAATGACAGAGAGGCTGACATGATGACATGTTCAGAAGGGTATGTTAACCTATTAATGATATTTGCAAGCATGTAATTTAAATCTTATAAACTCTGCTATAATGGATTTTATATTTTTATATAATAAATATCCAAAAGACAATCTTGCTTCCAAGACAATCCTTATTTTATATTGTATTCTCAATTATTTATATATGTTAAATAGAGGATCTCTTACACTATATAAAATTATGGCTAAGATATCTGTATGGTTAGCCCTACTAAGTTCTACGCTTTAAGACATTATAGTGGTAAATAAGAGAACCACACACGGTTACACTATCCCCTCACCCACTGGGTTAGCTACATTACAAATATGGAGTGTAATGGACCGCCTGGCACCCCGACCGGGTACCTCCATCTATCGCTGCTTCCTAGTACTTGTGAGTACAATAATCACTGTACTGGAACACCATAGCTACCAAAGACCCCACGAACCGCCGCAGCTTGGTTAGGGTCCTCAACCCACCCTGGACCCAAGACGAGGATCCAGCTTCCAGTGGGTAGACCTCTCCTAGTCCAGAGAGCATAGCAGGAACAGGGGACAAACTGTAGCACTTCTTGCCCTAAGTCGCTGTAGCTTGACTGGGGCCCTGGAACTGCTCCTTCCTGGAGCCAAATGGGGAGTTAGCTCTGACACCTCCTGGTACTGAACGACACTCAATCCTGGGAACTCTGGAACTGAATGGGGAATTAGCTCTAGTCCTTACAAAGAATTTCCCAGTTGAATCTCTGCAAGCTGGAACAGCAGACACAGGAGCAAATCTTCTTTCCCTCCAAAAACAGGATGACACACAGTTTTGGAGTGTAAGCAGAAACAGGAAGTTTAATGGCACACACTGGTCTTTTATACAAGTTATACAGCAAAGGTGAGGCCCAGGTGGACCTGGTTGGGCACCGAATACAAAACCTACAAGCCAATAAAAACAGAGGTTTACATTCAGACACTCCCACAGTGTACACAATCCCTCCCTTCTGCCTGTGATATAATTAATGAAGACAATGGACTAACTCAATTAACTCTAAGCAGAAAAAAAACACACATTTTTACAAACCCCAAAAAGTACCCCAAAATAAACCCCACAAAAGTCACATCCCCTGATAGCCCCGATCTGGGTGAACAACGTTTCCAAAAATCACCCAGATTGGTTTAGTGGTTCAGGAATTTCCTGGAAGTCTTATTTTTGCCCCACCATGCACATTGTCCAATGCCCAAAACAGTTCCATACACTCGATGACAAAACACTGCTGGACAATTTAATATGGCTACCACCACATGTTTGAATCTGTTCCAGTTAAAAGTCCAAGGGGCAGAAACAGTACTTTTAAACATGGGTTATCACAAGGCTCATAGTTCGAGAGTAGGAGGCTGGCAAGCAGGCCCCTCCAAAATCTCATGGCAAAATCCCTTAGTCACATGGAAGAAATGTATCGAGTGGAAGTAGTGTACCAAAGAGGGAACACTGGGATGAGTAGCAAATAGTATATGGAATACTCTAGATAAAGAGAAATCACAAAATTATTATGTAAAAGACAAAGTCGAAAATAAAAAATGTTTAATTGTTATAGAAATATAATAAAAAAAAAAAAATAGCTGCAGCTCAACTGCGGCGGTCGCATGTCAGGGTAGCTCCTGCTGCACAGGCCTGAAACCATAACGAAACACACACCCCAATAGCTCTTAACCACCCACAGCGATGTCCCAGCAAAAGGGTAGGCGCCAGACGGACAGAAGCGATAAATCAAGCTTTTTCGCCATCCGCGCAACCCAAACCAAGACAACGGGAGCCCTGGAGGAGGCCCAAGATGGCGCCCACGATGGAGATGGCGAACTGCAGAAAGAGATCACGGCAGACGCACCGGTAACCCAGGGTATATTACAACGCATGCTGGATGCGATGCACACCAAGCTCCAGAACACCCTCCAGACCTCACTAAACGACATCAGGTCAGAAATAAGGGAGCTGGGGGAGCGCACTTCCATGCTGGAAGACAAAATGGCTGACCAGGCCGAAGCACACAATGGCATAAGCGCTAGTATGGAGGAAATGCAAACTAACATGATGGCTTTGGAAGCCAAAATAGCGGACATGGAGGACCGCTCTCGCCGCAATAACCTCAGGCTGAGAGGGGTAGCGGAAACAGTAGGGGCAGCAGACCTGCACATCCACCTACAAGGCCTATTCAAAGTCCTGGCCCCAGACGTGCATCAAGACATGCTGCCGCTGGACCGTTATCACCGAGTCCCAAAACCGCCCTTCCTGACATCTGAAGCACCGCGAGACGTCTTGGTGCAGCTGCACTATTTTCACATTAAATAAATTTTACTGAGAGCGAGCAGACTACGTCCTAACCTACCACCTCCCTATCAGGGAACCACGATATATGCGGACATATCGGCAGCAACCCTGAAGAATAGCGGCAACCACACACAAAAAAAAAAAAAGAGTTCAGAAATAGCCAAATGATATAGTTTAGGGGTGCAAGACAGTACATGACACAATCAGTAGGGTTTCAGGCCTACAGACCGCACCGTACAGGCATGGAAGCATTATTCCGCTTCCTCCCCCACAGCGCCTTAGCTTGGCGCAAGGTCATCTACATGGCACTAAGTTTAACTTTTTATGCTTTAGTTACCATGTTTTTTTAGGGAATCAGGATTAATACCTTTAGCAGATCTCATACCTCAAGATACACCAACCCTCTTACAATCCTTTCAATTGTTTCAATTGAAACATTTCCTGAGATCACTCAGTCTTCCCAATTCTGGCTTGGGGAGTGAAAAACCATTTGAACAGAAGCACTCACAAACCAAACCTGCTACTTCAGGTAGTCCTGCACTATAAGTATTGGTTATTGGAAAGAGGTGGGAAATATAACTTGAGAGGTTACAGCTTTGGATCTACCCCAGGAAATGAGAGCTCTTTTTCCTGATAAAAATACCCTCTGCCAAATTTTAATAATCTTTGTGTTATTTTATTTTGACCTCTGCAAAAGCTGTCCTAGCAAAAAGGTGGAAAACCACACTAGGTCTGACTACAAGAAACCAGTATGCACAAAAATAACATGTTCCTGCCCTTGAAAAATTAAGGTGGACACACTGCAAAAAAGGGAGGCAGTTTGGGTACAATAAGATAACAAGACTTGTTTGGGTCACTTAACAATGCTGAGTGCTCATATATACCTTGTCTGATTTCCACAATTTGCTGAACTCGCTTTGAGCTCCATTTACCAAAAAATTCCTTCATAGGAATGGATACTTCAACAGGCTTACTACGACCAGGTTCAACAGAATACTTACATGATCTATTTGTCAAACTCTTTTATTTGAGGCATATAATAATCAATACAGAAACATGACAAAATGAGTTATATTGTTAATAAACAATGCAAGGGTACAGATATTAAGCACATTAGAATACAATCTTGAGAAATTGACCTTTTTTTTTTATTACAGCTAAATATGCTGGGCTAATACATGCTATATACATAATTGTTAATATGCAAGAACAGGTGGACTAGGCAATTACATCGAAAGCTTGTTGTAGGCCCTGCTAAAATAAATATGATAAGTGCAGCGTTAGCCCTGGCCATTTTAGGCCATGACGAGGTTATGCAGATAAGGCCAAAGCACAAAATATAATTACTGCCGACTAGTGATGTACCGAACGGTTCGCGTTAGCAACGGCGGGCGAACATATGCGCGGTTCGACCCGCCCCCTATTCGTCATCATTGAGTAAACTTTGACCCTGTACCTCACAGTCAGCAGACACATTCCAGCCAATTAGCAGCACACCCTCCCTAGCAGACCCTCCCACCTCCTGCAAGGCATCCATTTTAGATTCATTCTCAAGCTGCATGCTTAGTAAGAGGAGGGAAAGTGTAGCTGCTGTTCATAAGATAGGGAAAAGCATAGCTAGGTTAGGGTTAGGGTATGCTTTTTTTTATTTTTTTTTCTATGTAATGTAATTGCACTTAGTTGTCTGCCACTGCTGCCAGCTTCTGTGTCAGGCTCACAGTGCATACTGTGCCCATTTCCCCAGTCAGTGCCACCACTTACATCTGGTGTCACAATAGCTTGGATTTAAAAACAAAAAACTTTTTTCACTGTTATAGATTGAATAGCAGTCAGTGTCCTTAAAGCGGTGTGTTACGCTAACAGTGGATATGACCAGTGCCACCATCTGGTGTCACAATAGCTTGGATTTAAAAAAAAAAAACTTTTTTCACTGTTATAGATTGAATAGCAGTCGGTGTCCTTAAAGCGGGTGTGTTACGCTAACAGTGGATACGGTGACCAGTG